ACACACACACACACACACACACACACACACACACACACACACAACAGCAACAAAAACAACATCTCCTCTACAAGAACAGTTCAACAAAGTCTGGACATTCAATTCAGCTGCCGTCTTTGACAGGACAGGGCTATTTTCTGAAAGACTCAGGTTCAGAACCCCTTTCATGAATGTTAAAACCGCATGCGGGTGGTTGGCGTGTAAAAATACGCCGTTCAAGTACCTGTTGGCCTTTATTGCTCTTTCTTAACGCTATAGCAACGTCTACACACCTCCTAACCTAAGCCTCCCTAGTTATGCAGAATCTTCATATCGGCGGCTTTATTTTTTTGTCCAGATTTCGCCGAGTTTTTACTGAATTTTCTTTTATGATCTCCAAAGCTTGACAGCAGGAGGTTAAGGTATGAGAATGTCAGAAACTGACCGGATTCACCGGAGACAGCTTTTGGGTAAATTTTAAGGGGGGAAAAATTGGAGACGGTATATTTTTCGCTCCATTAAAAATAATCCTAATGTTTGCGCGATCCCTCATGCCAATAAATTGCTATGGCTTTCGACAATAATTATAAGATTTGATTGTACTTGCTTGTCATTTACCTCAAACTAGCTGACCATTAGAAAGTATTAAATTTTGAAACAATTTCTTAAGGTGCTACATCATCTAGACGTGAAAATGTTGAGATGTATTTCCTGCCAAATTCAGTTTGAAGAGTAAGCGGTAGCCTCTTGAATCAAAGCTTTCCCCTCAAGGCGGTAATTAAGAAAGGGCTATTAACTCGTAGTGCACGGTTAAACAACCAAGTTTGGCATACAATATTTCAGCATCACAAACTTCCCATAACTCCGCTCCTATTTAACCTATTTGCATAAACTACACTAAACACATAAACTAAGTAGAAGAGATCGAATGCTCCTTTCAATAGATGTATAGTTTGGTTGGAGGTCATTTGAATTTTTTTGGGGACTTCTTGACTTCTTGCAGAATTTTGTTAGATCCTCTATGATTATAAACAACCGAGTGATGACCAGACCAAGAGTTAAATTGGACAAATATCAACGCTACGTAACAAGTGCTAGAATTTTTCTTCTCGTTACTAACTATCGAATGTCTCCAAACATATTATACAACCTTGACTTTAAGACAGAAGTCAATTGGCCGTGCTGTCAACAATTGATTTGAAAATGAAGCCGAACTTTGGTTGAAAGTTGCAAGTTACAACGGTGTTTAAGGCGCGCTAAAGTCTTTGATCGTGCCCAAGGTGGCAGTTGAAGAATTGTATTTTTACATCTCGGGAGAAATGTTAAAAACCTGAAACTGAAAATTGAATACAGCTTCTGAGACAGCCCAGTTAGATCTATCAATGTGACGAAAGAAAGTATGGTAAAACTATACGAAACAAAACCATTACTGCTTATTGTATTCTTTTGCACAGTGCCCTGGGTGTTGCGTTTGCGTGTGTATGCCTCTGTGTGTGTATGTGTGTGTGTGTGTGTGTGTGTGTGTGTGTGTGTGTGTGTGTGTGTCTGTAAGAGAGAGAGAGAGAGAGAGAGAGAGAGAGTGAAAGAGAGAGAGAGAGAGGGGGGGGAGAGAAGGAGAGAGAGCGTCTGTGAACGGGGTGATATTCTTTGTATGTTATTCTCTGGTAACTCTAATCTTCAGTACTTACATGACCTATTTTAAGTTGCACGTACCGAAAAACTCTTACCAAAACTAAACAGAATTTAGGCACTTTACCCCCAAGCTCTCCCTCCTTTGCTATGATCTTCATTTTCCCTTGAGCGGCTATTTCACTGCTGTTTAAAAAAAAATATAAATCAAGAAAACATTATAATAATTGCTTATTACAACAGTTTTTAAGTCTTGGGAAAAAAACCAAAACGAGTCTTAACCTTTTAGATTGGAATAATGTAAGCGTTCAAGCAGGGGTCTCAAACTCAAATGGGGGGGGGGGGGCTCTCGTTGTTGAGAGGTTAAGGTATTTGCCTCTCATTCAATGTGTCCCGATTTCGTATCCGGACAGCGACGGCATTTTTTCTTCTCTAAATTTGTCTTCTTTCACCCCCTTTCCTGCTCTCTACCAATGTTCTGTCGTCTGCTTTTTCTTCCACTTTCTGCCCCCACCCCTCACCTCCTTTACCCCCTCCTCTGGGCTCCTGACTCTTTCTGCGGCGTTTCTGCAGATACTCCGAGACTCCTTCGTACTGCCGTCTTTTAGCCACACCCCTGATCTTATGGTAGGAAAGATCTACACCTTGCCTTCTCGGAGAAGGGTGAAAAATCTCGGAGGTCTTGTGTGCAAGTTGCGCACGTTAAAGATCCCTTGGTGGTCCAAAATCGATTAGAGTAGGCTACGGCGGCCACCCGGGGCGAAATTCAAAATTTCCCAGCAACTTACTAAAAACAAAACAAAACAAAACAAAGCTCCAATTACCCGGAGGCAGCTGGAGACACTGTCTGGTTGGGCCCGATCCACATCAAATATTCCAGAAATAAAGGTTCTAGGTATTCTTTAAAAGTAAAACCCACCTAATCTTAAAACCTGAATTAATAGCACTTAAGATTATGGAATTCTTTTCATAGCTCGGTAATAGCAAATTTCTGGGACACTTTAATCGATGTAAAGCACTTGAAATCCTGCTCCCCTTGGAAGACAAACGAGGCAGAGGTAAACCCAGAGCAACTTACTTAGAAAACTTGAACAGATTGATGACGGGGAAAGACCAGAAGACGTGAGTTCGAGTCCAGAATGGGGAGGATTTTAATAAAATATCTTCGTCTTTCTTTTGGGATGCTGTGTCCCTCTCACCCGTGTTTGGCCCTGATGGGCAAGTTAGAAGCAACCCGCCTAATGAATTATCTAAAATTTGGTCAATGGCGGCGAAAACTTCTGCAGTTTAAAAAACAATGGTTGTATTAACGGCTTATCTAGTGGTCCCTGAATACCTGGAAGTGTCACCCCTGGTTGAGATGTTGACTTACTATGGCCTGCCAGTGCTTACGGTCGCTTAGCTGCCGTTTTACACTCTGTCATAATTTTTGACATAATTGGTTCACATTGTTATTTGTCCACCCTTAGCCCTTTTGGCTTGAAATTTACCTTCAAGTATTTCCTTCATAATGGTCGTTCTCGAGCTATAGTTACTTAGGCAATTTGTGCAATCTATAGCCTCTTACGAAAAGTTTTAGCTGAGAGACTTTGGCTCCGATTTCACCTTCTGAAATATTAGCGAAGGCAATGAACTCACTCGGCTATCTAATTGGGTTAATAATAAGAACCCTTGCTCGGGGCACTGCCATTTTGAGGGATACGTTAAGGAAAGTTAGCTTGCCACTGTATTGCTGTCACATATCTTTACTTGTATAAGCTGAAAAAAAATGAAAGCACAACTGGTTACTAAAAGTTAAAGATCAACAACGTTCCAAATTCCCTCTAAGTTTTTGCCATAATAATATTGTCAATATTTATTTTTTTTAATTAATAAAACAAAAATTCACGAGAAGGATAAATTAAATTGCAGTGAGGAGAAAGGCAGTCCGAGCGGCGTTTATTGTGAAGCTTTTACGTACTTTCATGTCACGAGTAAGAGGCCGGGGTTCGATTCCCGAGAGGGAAAATGTTTATCGAGTATCTTGATCTTAATACTGGGATACTGTATCTCTCGGCCTGGGTTAGCCCTAGCAGGCAGGTTCGGAAACCCGAAAATAATCTTCATATTCTCGAATGGGGCTTAAAAATACTTACATAGATTTTTAAGAAAGAAGGCAGTCCACAAATCAAATAATTATCTCTCTTCATAATGCGGTGTAACGGGTTTTCTTGTTTGTATGACATGTTTTTCTTTTGTGTGAGGTTTTCCTCTCAGTAATCATGTCATCGATGTAAAGCGCTCACTCATACTCACAGCTTGAATGTGCTTGAATGGGGTAGATAAATATAAATGTAATCTATTATTACTATTATTACATTATC